CATTTAGTGAAACACGACAGGACACGGAGCCATATTGGGGTTTTGGAATATCAAACGGGCAGAGTATTTCTGAAATAAACGAATATAAAATCAAAAGAGGCATGAAACTTTCCAAGAGGTGAACTCCATAATACAGACCTCGTCTTGAGAAACTGGTCAAATAATCTTCCTTCTTTTACGGAACTAAAAGATCCGTTACAAATAAGATCTAAAACTTTGTGAGGATGGTAAATTGCTACAAGTACTGTGTTTTTGGACATTATCCATCGTCTCGTCTAACTATTTGTTTCATGTGTTGGTATCACAAGGAGTATCGCCTTTCTCCAGATATGATTTCATTCGAGATACTTCTCTGGTGTAAAGCCTCATATGTGTGTAGCTTCATTAGTTGAATATTTTCTTAGCTTTCACAGATGGTTTGTGTGGTGCTTGGTTTATGAACCCCTTCTGAAGTTGACACAGATGTCTAGAGATAGGGGCTAGCTCTATCTATTGGACCCAACTGAGTAGGTTTTACCTGAGGACGGGGACAGAATCCAGTATCCGAAACGTTTTTTTTAACAGAAACAGGACTTTTCTTTTAAACAGGCAAGACGATGCATAATGTCACATTACAGTACTTGTATCCGTTACAAAGTTCGCAAGAACAGCGTCTGGTCTCTATTCTGTAACATGCACTCAACCCACGCCCTCCCACACTATATCACTGAGATTAATTTTAATATTAACCTACCATCTACAATTAGGTCTTCCACGTGATCTTATCCCCACAGAACTCAAAACGTCATCTCTCCTGTGCATGCTAATTGTTCTACCTTCTCGTCCTCTTACAGTTGATCAAGTCAGTAACATTTGATGAAGAATATATAACATGAATTTCTTCATAAGGCAATTATCCCTAGTCTCCCGTCACTTCAATGTCTGAAGGATATCTGTGGTGAGCACGGCGTCTACTGAGCTCGGAACCAAACTGCCCGCTGACACGGGTTAGCTTGTTCCAACCCACTGACAGTTGTCCGCTGGCGCTCCACAGAACAATGGAGTGGGCTCTTTGTGTGTTACGACTGTCTCGTCACCCGGTTCAAAGCCACAATTTGTTCTGTGTAACTCAGACCTGTCGAATTCGTTTATGCTTTAATACGAGCTTGCGTCCCTGGCTGCATCATCAGAGAAAGACCAGAGCGTTTTGATACTAAAAATGTAATTACACATTGTATCATGAACTGTAAAGGTTATAATTAATTTACTAATTAATTATATAATTTTAAATTTTAAATAATTCCTTTGACTGTAACAATAACAAACGCGCGAGGGAATATCAAGGCCTGTAAATATTATGTTTATCTTCTGTACTGAAATAAGTCCTAAATATTATAAAAACGTTTTAAAATTTTTGAACATGCCTGTAAAAATGTTCATGTTAAAGTGCGATTATGTGGCCCATGTAAACTGATTACTTCTTTTTTGCATAAGAGTATCGTGGGTCACACAGTTCTTCTGGAGATCAAATTTCCTTCAAATTACGTTGCGACGTCATGCGAACTAACAATAAAATGTATTTGTTGGCTACCAGTAACTGAGAATGCTAGGATGACAGTGGATGAACGTGGAAGACACCTGTCGTAGCATAATTCGAGGTATTTTCCTGGGAGGGAATGTGGAAATTCACGTAAAGATGAATCTTGATGACGTGTTTTCGAACAGAGGTTTGAACCTCGAACTTCCTCAATAGGATGTGGAAAATATCCCATGTCATAAATTAGTTTTAAATATAATTATTAACACGTTTCCTGATCTGGCCATTTAGATTGCAATGGGGAAAACGTTTGCATAAAGTTTTGATGGAGAAAAGTGAGTAAATCGGAAACTTGGGAGACTATAGAAGATATGGTAAGGTAAAGACAAAGCTGTCCCTGTGCTTAACTAATTAAGCACTACGCCATGAAGATGTGTGGGGAGCGGAGGTATAGGTCCACATTTCTCGACCTTGGCACCAGCTGGAGGTGAGTGGTCAGCTTCACTTGCCTGCAGCTTTACCCCCGGGGAAAGAGCCCCCAGTATCCATTGGATAGGAGGTTGGGTGGACCCCAGACCCGGTTTGAACGTCATCGAGAATTGAAAAGTATTGTTCCTACCAGGACTCGAACTCCGACCCCTAGGCCGTCCAGCCCGTAGCCAGTCACTACACCGACTACGTTATCCCGGCTCTTCTGCAGAAGAGATAGGAAGATAAAATTAAGAGAGCAGTTTAGGGAGACGGACCATGAAGGGGGAGAGGTGGCTGAAGTTGGCTAATGATCTTATGCAGGGAAAAACGTCGGTGCTTCTTCTCATTCCATTTGGGCAGTGTTACTAAGTGTTATAAACTGAGTGTGCTCCAGACACGGCTATGAAGAGGCTGCAGTCTCCTTGTATGGGGGAATGTTGTGATATGTGTTCTTCCGCGAGCAGTTTCATTCCACTCTCATCTGCCAGTCACCACGCCAGAGGCAGGTTCTTCCGCGAGCAGTTTCATTCCACTCTCCTCTGCCAGTCACCATGCCAGCGGCAGGTTCTTCCACGAACAGTTTCATTCCACTCTCATCTGCCAGTCACCATGCCAGCGGCAGGTTCTTCCGCGAGCAGTTTCATTCCACTCTCATCTGCCAGTCACCACGCCAGAGGCAGGTTCTTCAGCGAGCAGTTTCATTCCACTCTCCTCTGCCAGTCACCATGCCAGCGGCAGGTTCTTCCGCGAGCAGTTTCACTCCACTCTCCTCTGCCGGTTCCTCCGCGAGCAGTTTCACTCCACTCTCCTCTGCCAGTCACCACGCCAGCGACCTGTATCCACTATATCACTTTCCTTTAGGTGAACGACAAGCCGGATCTGTCAGAAGGGCCACTATATCGACTTCCAGTCAGGGATCTATCTTCCTTCCGACAATTGGCCGAAAGTTCTTTCTGAGTTAGTTGTTTGAAGGAATCTTACTGTGTGACGCGAAACATGCGTAAGCATTTTAAACGCTCTTGTAGTGATGGCGATGAACAGTGGCACTCTGCCAAGATGTTGGTGTTATACTTCATTTTGATGGCGCCCACACAAATGGCTTGAGAGGAACGACAACACGAAGCACATGTCCATATCTTCCGGCTTCTATTCAGCTCGTAACTTTACTGCGCAGTCGCGGCTATCATGCCTCACACTTGACTGGTGCTACACGGGGCTTATCTGTTCTCGCTACGGAATGAGTAGAAATACAGGAACTGGTCAACCCTCTACCTTAGTCCTTACACTGAAATCAATTTCTGTCTAAGAAAGTTCACCCTGGAAATCTTGTACCTTATGTTATTTCGGTACACTTCTTATATTGTGATGTACATATTCACGAAGGGATAGATTATTAAAAAAAATTCATGTGCTTCACTCGCCTCGATCTAGTGCCAAAGTGAAGAATGGTGGAGCTATACCTCCACTTCCCCGTATGTCTTCATGGCATAGTACTTACATAATTAATCATAGGGACACCTTTACCTACAGTCCTATTCCTGTTGCTCCAACTTGGAACATAGGGCTTCGTTTCACTCAGGTTTCTTAATCTTCAGACAGTTAGTGGGACTCCTTGGATGGGGCATCAGCCTGTCGTAAGGCCGCTACTTACACATTACAACACACACAGCATATACGCAGAAATATATCCATGCTTTGAGTGGGATTGGAACCCACGATCACAGAGTTCGAGCAGGTGAAGACGGTTCTTGCCTTAGACCGCGAGGCCTTACCTTGCCTGTACTTTTCAGTGTATGTTTATGTATATAAATAGCTTCATAAGTTATTCATATTTCTAAAGTGGTACTAAAGCATCAGGCCAGAACTTCCTGTGAAAGCTTTATATTTCCGAAGTAGAAAACGTACAACACCGACGGCCAATATTTAAATTCGGTTCAAATTTGAAACAATTTTCAGAGACAACAGTTCGTCTACAGATCTTACCATCCAGGCGGATGCTTGTTAACAAACAACAAGTCTACACTGCGTATCATTCTAAGGACTACAAAATGAAAACACCTTGCAGGGTCTCTCTGCACTCCTCAAAGAGAAATTTGGATTGCACGTAAAAAGGGCAGTTCTCATAAAACGTTAAGAGAGTGGCGTAAAGCATATTTTCCGGTCTGATTATCGGGGCAGCAGGAAATGCACAATGGCCCGGGGCAGTAATTTAGCTCTCGAGATGCGGATGCGAATTAATATAGGGCAGACTCCATTCCAGTTCGTCTAGTGAGTCATTATCAGTGGCGTCAATATGCTCCAGATACGAAGACACGCATAATAATTTAATAAAGGTATATTTTCTCTATGGTTGTGGTTCTGTATGGGTGTGAAACTTGGTCTCTGACATTAAGGGAGGAACACAGACTGAGGGTGTTTGAGAACAGGGTGTTGAGGAGAATATTGGACCGAAGAGGGATGAAGTGACAGGACGTTGGAGAAAACTGCATAATGAGGAGCTTCATAACTTGTACTCTTCTCCAAGTATAATTAGATTGATCAAGTCAAGGAGGATGAGGTTGGCAGGGAATGTAGCACGAATGGGGAGAATAGAAATGCATATAGGATATAGGTGGGAAAGCCAGAAGGAAAGAGTCAACTGGGAAGACCAAAATGTACGTGGGTGGACAATATTAAAATGGATCTTAGAGAGATAGGATGGGATGGTTTGGATTGGATTGATGTGGCTCAGGATAGGGACCAGTGGAGGGCTCTTGTGAACACGATAATGAACCATCGGGTTCCATAAAATGCTGGGAAGTTCTTGAGTAGCTGCAGAACTGGCGGCTCCTCAAGAAGGGCTCAGGTCCGTAACTCAATGGCTCGTCATCCGCTTCACACACACTCAGGTTCCCTGTCCTCAAGGAGACGATGACTGGCTTTCCGAAGTGGCACTGGCTTGAAATATAAATAGCTTAAATCTATAATGACATAAAATACAATAAAAAGTAAACGACAGACTGTTTGCACTCACCCCGTCCACAACACAAACTCGATATTGTCGCCATGTTTGCTTTTCATCGCCTTGGCTGCGGACTCAACGAGGGGCCACGGCGAGTCACAGTTGTAGTCGCCGTAGCGGCCCGCGGGCCTGCTGTTGCCCACCCCGCCGCCTCCAAGCTTGTTCTCCGTACGCCGGCAGACTGCACACAATAACAGTATTCTGTTTAACAACGATTTATCAACTGCCGTCGAGTGGGAAACGACGGCTGGAAGGAGTGAGGGAGGAAGTGCTACTAGCTTCCCATCTGGTCAAGTGGGATTTGTGGTGGACAAAGTGGCGCTGGGGCAGGTTTTCTCCGAGTACTTCGGTTTCCCCTGCCAATCTTCATTCCACCAATTGCTCCACAATCACCCTCACCTATCATCTGGGGCTGGTACAATAGGCCAGAAGTGGCCGCAGTGCAAGGGACTTAGTCCCACCCCACTAGCAATAAAAAAGTGCTACTGGCTTCATTTAACGCATTATTCCAGAATATGCCTGAAGGGACTGAGGAAAACAACGGGAGATACGGGTTAGGATAGTCGGATTCCTAGACACGGTATGAACCTCTGCTATAGGAAACACAGACGCCAGATCATTACAGAGCACAGTTATGAGCGCACTGACAGTAAGGCTTGTACTACTATTACTGCTGACTCACTCATAGAGGTGAGACCTTCTTCAGAAGTCGCCAATTCCGCAGCTACTCAAGAATTTCCCAGCATTTTATGGAACCCGAAGGTTCATTACCGTGTTCACAAGAGCCCTCCACTTGTCCCTATCCTGAGCCAGATCCAATCCATACCGTCACATCCTATCTCTCTAAGATCAATTTTAATATTGTCCATCCACCTACGTCTACCACCACCATCACTACTACTACTACTACTACTACTACTGCTGCTGCTGCTGCTGCTGTCGCTGCTATTTATAATAACGAAGAATTCATCCCAACATGCATCGTTGTGGGAACGACATTTTTGACGCCTTAAGGCACAGTAAGCAGCTTCTGTAAAAAGGAGAGCGTCGGAACCAAGCAGACGGCGTCTCAGCGCGTCAACTCCGAATCCGAACCAAGAAAACTACGTGGAATATGAAAATTTGGAGCGGGAAAGTGAACTGTGAATTGTTTTCGTTTTCTTCTCATGAAAGATACCAAATTACATTGCATTCCAGTGGGGATGGGGTTGACACGAAGGGAAAATTTGACTTACAGGCGTGCCAACCTTAGTAGTAGTAAGAGCCACCAAGATTTAAATGCACATTCTTAACGTCACTGTGTATCAGACTGCGTGGTGCTGTTATTACTCCATACTCACATTTTCGGGTGTCTCCTGATGTCGAGTAGTGAACGTTATAATGGATATCCGTTATGTGCCAGAAGTATCCTGCAACAAACAGAAAATGTTTTCTCATCAGCACAACAAACTTCAAACACCGCCTCTGTCTCCAACCCCGCTAAATTCCTTCAAGTCTGGGAATTACTTTCTAAGGATTCAATAATTTGTAAATGCTTCGTCTGCATGGAGAGAGAGATTAATTCATGGAAGATAAACCATATTCCAGGGAGTATGCTCCCACATGTTCATTCTCAGGACAAGGTTTGAAATAACAAATCTGATTTAAATTTTCGTGGGTTTTATTGTGTCATAACACAAACATGTCATGTATCACATCCATTTGCATCACATTGCCACGTGTCACAGTGACTAATAAGGCGGTATGTGGATTGGGCGAACGAGTTTATTTACTCCCGATACACATCACCAGTAACTAGATGTAATTATAGCGCTATTGCTATTTATACACTTTCCAGTTCACCGTTGCACACGCACTAGGATTCTCAGTTTTCACTATTCGTCTTCTAGCAAGGGGTCTCAACACAGGAATTAGCGCTTCAAATAACAATGAAATCTTCTAGTTATTTTGTCTTCAGTCACTCGGAACCTCGGAACTAAAAATTCTTCTGGACTCACTCCTCCAGCTTACAACTGACCCGTAACTGCCCCTGAACTAACTCTGTCACTGAATTCACTTCTCTTATAAGCACTCTGCACAGACCCCACAGAAAATACCGTCTAAATTGTTGTTGACGTCACCGCTAAAGCGAAACTGTGTTCACAGAGCCGTTGTTTAGAAACTGGTTGCATAACGCCGTTGTTCCACTGTTGTTCGACGGGGACTACATAGAAAACACAGCCTCATCTACTGTTACGTGTTGGACCGTGTTTACAGAAGTGTTGCCTGGTAACGAGTTGATCAAATCTGTTACAATATATTTTCTGTTCTATAACTTTAAGGAATCCTATCATTGTTATACTTCTTTCACTACGTTTATGTAGTGAAATTAAACACATGCTAAGCAGATATAACTAAAATGGTGACACGAAAATAAATTACCTAAAGATCAGTTCTGTTTACCACAGTGAAACAAGAGACATTCATGAAAAGGTGACACAGCACAAATGCTATTTATTAGCATTACAACAGTACCACTGATAACTGTGAAGACTGGTATTGGAAATTTCATGTCATTGTTACAACAGTCGGTTCTCTGCTTACATGCTTTCCTGTTGCAGTACCCAATGCAGGGCTTTATTTACATCTGTGCCACAGAAATCGCGAGGGAAGCGTTGAGTGATACACGAAACTCTGATATCGATAACTGATTCCGACGTGTCCCAACCGACACAAATATATGGGCATTTGTGTTTGCTCACATTCATAGTGAATTTTTCCTCTCGTCATGAATGGACACAAATATTGGCCTAAACTGTAAGCCTCGGTAATGATTTCGCGCCTGTAATTCATATCATTGGAATCAGAGTCCCTGATTCTGAATGCGAATATTTCATTCAATTTATAATTCATTTAAATGTCGTTCTGTTCTCTAAACACAGTATTTTGATTTCACATGCTAGTTCCCGTAGATCTGGGAAGAGTAAAGAATTAAACGAACACGTTAAAGCAGTTGTTTGGTATATAAAGGTCCCAGGTTCGATTACCGAGTTCGATGATCCAAAGTATGCGCTTAGTCCACAATTCAAAGATTTAATATTATATTTCAATATGACAGTACGGACACAATCTGGACCTGACTCAGTCATAGCAAATGCATTTATTTTTCGCAGATTTAAGGGGGCACGATTTCTCCGACACCCTTCAGGGGCACTAGGCAAGGCTCTTCTGGTTTTCCTTTGATAAATGCAGAATCCAACACATTAAATTTTTATAACACTCCTTTTCTTCTTACTTTATTTTTTAACCGCCTCTATCGTCTAGTGGTCAGAGTTCCTGGCTACAGATCCATAGGTCCCGGGTTCAATTCCCGGCGTTACCAGATTTTATGAGAAGTAGTGAGTCTGAAACGGGGTCCACTCAGCCTCGTGAGGATAATTGAGGATCTCTTTCGAGGGAATAGCGGCTCCGGTCTAGAAAACCGAAATTAACGGTCGTGGGGATTCGTTGCGCTAACCACGCGACACCCTCTATCAGCAAAAGTTGGCACTGACTTCGCCGACAAGCGGCGGCTACTCTGTTGGTATAGTTAGCTTGTGAACTGAAACCACGGAGTTTGCTTTTGTTTACTTTATTTAATGGGCTGCCTTGGTTAAGCGTGCAGAGCTTCAGAAGCAAAGTACCTAACAAGAAATGATGGAGCAGAGATCGATTTGGAATGACAGCGGAGTTGTCCTCCTTTAATGTATTGTGGCATATCTCCTCAGAGGAAGAACTGTGGAGCGAGAAGAAATGTCCATTGCTACGAAACAGCATGGTAAAACACGTGATCCACTCTTTCCTATGTGTTCCGTGTCACGTTCTCACAGCAACATGTATGCACGCAACAATATCATAGTTGTTGGAAGCGGTGTTTCCTATGCGGTCCATGCCGAGGCTCTATAACGACGACACCAGGCGGTGTAGTTAGACTAAGTTTCTTCTTGAATTTTTTTCGAGCCAACTACCATCCAGTGAGGACATGAGCACCGAAGCACAAAACCTCCAAGCAACGACTCGTGATGATGTAGAGGACTTATGTGTGCTGCAGTCCACTGATTTGTACAGTGTGTGGATCCGTGAAACTGTTTTATAAGTGTTCAATTAATCCAATTACCAGTCCAAATCCCGTGTCTAGTCACTACCACGTGACCGTATCTAACGAATACCGAAAGAATACAAACGTTTCTCCATCTCCTCTCCTTCCTATGTATGAACCTTCCAAAATGTATTCCTCCTGTAATCATCCAGACATGTACTTGTATCAGCGCACGAATTACACATGAAAGAGAAAGAAGAAAGAAGCGAGGAAAGAACACCGATAGCAATACTCACGAGCCGAGATAGCTCAGTCAGTATAGCGACTGGCTACGGGCTTGATGACCGAGGGGTCGGAGTTTGAGTCCCGACTGGGGAAAGAATTTTCATTTCTCCATGTAGTCCAGACCGGCTCTGGGGCCCACCCTGCGTCCTATACAATGGGTCCTGGAGGCCTTTTCCCCGGGGCTAAAGCAACCTGGACGTGAAGCTAACCACTCACTTCCAACCAGTGCCGAGGTCAAGAAAATGTGGATCTATACATCTACTGTCCCATACGTCTTCATGACGTAGTTTTTAATTAGTTAAGCACAGGGACAACTTTACATTTAGCAATACTTGCTTACAGACTGTTAATCATGAAGTTGCCTGACCTATAACATTCTGTTTCCTTAATTCCTCTGTGTCTTAAAAAGGGTGTAGGTACAGTTCTTGGCAGCAGAGCACCTGACACATCTCCAGAGCTACAGGCTTTGGTCTGAAGGGCATAGCACTACAAACTTGGAACATAAATCCTTGGATTTATCTGGAGCGGGTTGTGTCTCCCCGCCAGGCCCGCTCCCCAGAGATATTAATCGTTCGAAAGTTGTTCAACTCGTGCGCACAATATTTTGAATGCGACATTCGGATTATAAATACATATAAGTGTTATTAAAAAGATAATCCGGTGCTTGCGTAGACCTGCAAGCAGAAGTACGGAAGGGCCTCCCTAACTTAGTTCTGGATTAGCTGTAATATACAGAACTAAAGGAATTTTAGGCTGCAGTTTCATGATAAGATCCTCAGGCAAACGAACCGCATGAAACTAGTTCTTTTCTGTACAGAAACTGCCGAGAAGAAATCTGCTTCAGTGGACCATACAACTTTGCAATTATATTCGCAGAAGTCACACTCTAATCCCTATCTAATGCCGGCTGAATCCTAGTTCACACATTCTAAAACCTTTCACAAAATTTCACTTAAATATTATCCTCACTTCTAGGTCTTTAAAGAGGTTCCTTCTTCTGAATTTTCTCCTGCAACAATTTAATATGAATTTCTTATTTCCCGTATTAATGAATACTGTCATGTGTGCGTGACTTATACACGGGTTTTGGATTGGATGATTAGATTTATTGACACCTTATACATTCAACTCATAAGTACAATTAATACAGCGCTATCGCTGATCTACACACTTTACAAATCACTAGGACACGATAAGCCTTCTCAATCTCCACTAGTCGTATCCTGGCAAAGGATTCATAACAGTCTCACTGTCACTTCAAGTGCCATTATTCTGCAACTGCCAACCCTCGGTTCTATGCTGCAACTGCCAACTCCGAAACTCAACTCCGTTCTGACTCTGTCTCTGTGAGAGCCTGTTTATATAGCCTTGGGGCGGCTCTACACAGAAATCACCGCTTCCTCTATTGTTGCGTGTTCATTCACTGCTGCAGAGATGTGTTTACTGCACCGTTGCGTAGTAACGCGTATTTACGTTTTTGGACAGGAGTCGGGAGAGCGCAGTAGGTATAGCGATTGGATACGGGCTGCATGACAGAGAAGTAGGAGTTCAAGTCCCGGTAGGGTCAAGAATATTCTATTCTGGCTCTGGGGTCCACCCAACCTCCTATCCAATGGGTACAGGGGGCTTTTCCTCGTGGATAAAACGGCCGGGGCGTGAAGCCGACTACTCACCTCCAGATAGAGACGAGGTCAAGAAAATGTGGATCTATACATCCACTCCCCAATACACCTTCATGGCGTAGTGCTTAATTAGATAAGCACGAGGACAATTTTGCCTTTACGTTTCTAAAAAGTTAAAAAGCATACAGAAGGTTCTGAAGTGAATGGTAGCAAGCATTACCCGAGACATGCCAACAAATTAACACGTGGCTTCGTATTAAGCTACCTCCGACTGACGGAGCTGTGGCTATCTGTAATCGCAGAACTTGCACTGATAACGGAGTCGCCATGCAAGTTCATATGCACGTTTAGCAATACATCCGTTACTGGTCTTAGCATTCTGTAACGAAGATGGTAATGTTGGCCATGCTAACAAAAGGAAAGTAAAGGTATCCCTGTAACAGAC